TAAATATTTTATTCCCATGTTATTTAAGTTCTTTTCAAAACTATTAGTATTACAATTACATTCTGTAAATAGATTTTAAAATGTCAATTTAGTTTTAAAAGGACTTAGTTGATTTCATTATTATTATTACATTACTTGTGTCTATTTTTGTTCTTGTTTTGCATTTCCTGCATTTTTTTCAACAGAGTGGTAGGCCTAATATTTGAAGGTGGATTTGGGTTAATGTTTCCACTCAAAAAGATTCTGCTTTGAAATGCTGACATTTGAACCTTGACCTCAGTGCATGTTTAAATGCCATAGGTGAGGGTAGGAACGAAAATTGACCAGTAGCTCGATAAGCTTTGCCTTCTGCTTCAGCTCTCTTTTCGTCACAACAGTGTGGTATAGTGAGTGCAATACCGCCCACGCTGCTCCAATTCTGTGGCCAATCTCCCACTTCTTTGTCCCCTCACTTGCAAACAAGATCCCGAGGTACTTGAACTCCCTTACTTGGGGTAAGGACTCATTCCCTACCTGGAGTGAGCACTCCATTGCAGCTGATTTATAGGTGCTTATCTTTATCCCGGCCACTTCACACTTAGCTGAAAACTAATCCAGTTAGTCTCACATACTGCCGAGAATCCATCCTCAGCCCTCGCTTTCTATGTGTAGACTGGATGCCTCCCCCCCCCCCCACAGCTCTGCTTCTACCATAGAGGGAATGTTAGTGGGATCAAAGTGTTCCTTCCACCAACCTCAGAGGTCAACAGCGTCCCATCCTTATGTCATCGCATGGTCACAGATGACTCGATACTGTTGGTATAATGACTCAATGAGACGAGTGGAGATGGAGACATCCAGTGCTCTGTCAGTAAGAATTAAATAGAACCAGGCCACCTGGTCGTCACGCTAGCAGATAAACAAAGAAGATGTGGGGATTTGGGAAGAATTTTTTCATATCTGTTTTAATACCTCTGTGTGGAATTACATGATTAAGTGAATAATGCTAATTCATTATAAATCCCACAGGAGTAAACAACAAAACCCAAATGTTTACCTAAATTGATACTGAGGAAGGAGTGTTAATATCCCTGGTGTATATTGGTTGTCTCTCAGCACATGTGCAGCATAGAAAGTATCCATTCTGTTTCCTCTTCTGTTAAATATTTACTTCATAATCTAGGTATTTCTATGGGCCAGGGTTTGAGTAATTTTTTGGTTCACTCCTGTTTTTAGTAGCTGTGGAACTTAGCTAAACTCAGGCTCATTGTGTCCCTGGCTGATATAAAGGCCTCAGTCTAAGTTAAATGAAACATGATTCTTATTTTCAGGTGATTATACACCTACTTATAAATATTATTTTCAATTTATGTCATATTCTGCCAATCTATCGCCCTAAGTCTGACACACTGGACACACTTCCTATGTCTTATTTGCTTTTTTGTTTACATTTTTATTTTTTCATAATGTTTCAAACTTCAATTTTTGAATTGTATTTTTCATTACTACTCAATGAATGGAAACATTATTTTATAGAATAATTTAGAAAATGATAATACGCCTTGAATCCATCCCATTTCCACACAAAAGTATTAAAGCACCTCCATCCTTTCTCCTCCCCCCTGACTCAGTTTCACACATCCCTCCTACCCAAACACGTTTTCTTTTTCTTCTTTTTTTTGTTTTTTTTGTTTCTTCCTTCACCTTCTGTCACTTTTGTTTGAAAGCAGGAACCACCGGGGGCCCTATCCAAAGCAGAGCAAATGAATAGATGGTTCCCCCACTCAGAGTTGAGACTATGAGTGGGGGAACCAAGTGGGTCCCTCCTGGTGCTTGCCATTCTTCCATTCTCTTCCATCCATCCACCGACAACCCTGATTCCTCCTTTCCACCCTACATCCCTCACCTTTCATTTCCTTACCCTTATCTCTTCATCTCCCTACCCTCACCCCTCAATCCCTCAACCATTATCCCCGCATCCTCTACCCTCATCCCTCTACCCTAACCCCTTCATCCTTTACTCATCTTCCTTATACCCACTTCCTTCAACCCCTCACTCTTCTTCCTCAACCCCACATCCCTCAACCCCTCACTTTACTATCTCATCCCCACTTCCCTCGGCCACTCCCTCTTCTCCCTCATCTCTCATCCCTCCATGTGGACCCTTACTCTGTTCCACCTTCATCTCAGCTCGCCTTCATCCTTAATATACAATAAAATATTCCAAATCCATATCTTTTTGGTGTGATCTTAGTGGATGAGATTAATAGATGTAGCCCTGTGTCCTCCATTTTCAATGTGGATGTCTCTCAGGAAGTTTGTGTCTCCATAAAAAAATATGTATTGGTGGGCAGTGGCCAGTGAGGCTTTAGGCCTCATTTCTTCCTGGCATTTCACAGCATTCATTTTGCCTTTCCCAAATCTATGGAATTTAACTAAGCTGTCAGTTTATTATCAATAACATAAAGAAAGAATAAGATTTGATGTTCTCAAAATAGTTTGAGAGTTTGTTAGATATGTAAAACATAGTGTTTGGAATATGTAAAGAATTCTGGGCAAAACAAAATTGCATAAGACTGTTTTGAGATGAGGATTCACCAAGGTATAAAGACACAAGCAGATAGACCTACATTCTCACATAAACACTTTAATCACACACCTGAGACCATTATTGACATGAGGCACTAATTAGCTTCCTCTTGGAACTCATTTATGTTGTTGCTTCTGAGTATCATCCAACTAAAACAAACACGTCACTCCACCTACAAGACGAAACTATTTTAATGTAAATTGTTGCACTGATAACAGCACAATAAGAAAATTTTAATCAGCAATTAAGCTACCTGTTGCATCAATATTCACAATAAAACAGTTTTTCACACAATGCTTTGAAAATAATGATTTCTATTTGAGGATCCTACTACCGCAACAACGTTTCACTACATAGTGTTGTAAATGTTCATTACAATAACTTTATCCTGTGATTACAATCATGTACAGTCCATATTTTTCTTCTTGAAAGAAAGAAAACTGAACAAAATTAACATTCCCCCCTCAAAAATCTAAATAGAAGCTACCTCATAGACATTTGATAAGAAGTATTTATTTGTGGAGTAAGACACTAAAGACAATAATTTTGTTAATAATATGCGTATTAACATCTATATCTATATAACAAGTTTTGTTATAAAACAAACAGATTGGTTTGAAATATACCTTCATTCTCTATAATCAATTTTGAGCTCCCTTTGTACTCTGAAAGTAAAATATTTGACACACTCCAATTCACAACAACAACATGGGTTGGTCATGTAGGCCAACACACTTTGCTTTCTCATCCCCACTGGTGCTACAGGATGACTGGTGCTACAGCAAACATTCAAAATGTTTAACACGTGCTGCATGAATGGTTATTATTATTGACAAGTCAGCACTAAGCATTAACAAATTAGCCTACCACCTTACCACCATGTAGACAATGTTGTCTTGAACAAGGATTTAATGAATGAGAACAACGTACCATAATGACACAGTGCAGTGACCGTTCACAGGGGCCAATGTGACGCCTCCTTGTGCTTTTTAGATGTTCAAAATGTGCGTCTCACATTGGTTTTACCTAACAATAACACTGAAACCATGGTTCGAATTACAGGGTGGGGGGGGGGGGGGGTCTAACCCCCCTAATTAAGGCTTGGACCCCCCAAAAGAGGCAAAAACAACAGTTCAGGGGGGAAAGGAGATATATGCTTAAAAAAAAGAGTAAGTTGAAACTTTACACTTGATGAGAATGACAAGAATTAGGAATTAGAGATAATAATGCAGACTGTATTTTATGATCATGTCTTTGCTTCTGGTTCAACATTGTGTGGGTCTGTTTTGAGCGGTCATGATGGTCTGCTGTTGTGTGTCTGACTTGCTGGCACTTTTGCTCTAGAATACTTGGTGACCCCTGACTACAAAAGTTGTCTTGTGGTATGGGTCACCCATGAGCTTGTGTAATGAATTTGATTTATCATCATCTACAGACTACAGACATTAGATAAATAAGCAATGATATTGTAAGCTTTGTAAGATTTTAGTTCACTGAAGTACGCGCCTGCGCTGTACTGGGTTTCCTTTTTTGACCTGGAAAAAAGTTGCTGCTTTCTTTCTAGTTGAATTGAGAGCTTTTACTTTGAAAAGTTCTGAAGGACAATTAAAAGAGACAGTGGTTTACTTGACACACCTCTTTAAAAAAGCCATCATGTGAAATTGGATTCCCCTGAATGAGAAGCGCAGGACTTTCCTCTGCCTGGAGATGCTGGGGAAATGAAAATGAGAGCCTGCTTTATTGTGACAATGCAAAACAGTCTCATATTCATATTTAATTTGTTGAAGAGGGGATAAAAACATATATATATTCACTCAAGGGGGGACCAAATACACAACCTTCCAACTGAAAGGCTTGTGCACTACTGTCTGAGCTAACAAGACAGCTAACCAGTCACTCTTGCTAATAGCTGAAACTTGTGATTTTTGTGCAATGGCCATTCTGTTGAATTGCTTCCACAAGCTTTCTCACATTATGTTAGCAAGATAAAACAAATTGTTTAACCAGAACCTCCCAGACACACACAAAAGATTAAATAAGTTGGATCCGGGATGATAGTATATTGTATTAATATTATGATAATATATATTTTGTTCATACATTGGCAAAGTGCTTACTTAAAATAACATTAGCATGCTAATAGTGTTTTACCTTAGGTGACTGGTGTCATGGCATCACCACCTGATACCTAATCCTACATATTACTATTACTATTGTTTTCTCTTCTATATTTTCCTTTATTTTCGTCAGTGTCTGCACACATTAAGAATAAAGAATGACTTGGTCTAAATTCAAATATCATGGTTACAATTGTGACAGCTTTGGCATTTCAATTTGTCCCAAGTCAATATTTGTTATGAAGCTTTCTAGTCCTCACAAACAGAGATGGCTAATTAGAAGAAAGGAAAAATAGTGAATATTGTATTGGTAATCAGTTACTAATAGCCGAAACTTGTGATTTTTGTGGAATGGTCTTTCTGTTGAATTGCTTCCACAAGCTTTCTCTCATGTCTTTAGCTCTTAAGCAGTATATAAGTGGATTAATCATGGGGGGGCAAAGGCTATACAGCATGATAATTACTATTCGCACATCAGCACTAAATGTAATGCCAACATTGCTGGCTAAATATACAAAACATCTGGGTAAATAATAAAGGGAGATTATAATCAGTTGAGTACTACATGTGGACAGAGATTTTAGGCGACCTTGTACATTTGCTATCTTAAGTACTGTTATAATTATAGAGCCATATGAGAATATTATAAATGCCAGAGGTCCCAGCAGCGCAACCATTGCCAATACTAAAGCAGGAAACCCAAAAGAGGCCCTGTCAGTGCATGCCAGCATTGTTATACCAATATGATCACAGTAGCACTGGTTGATGATGTTTGAGGCACAATAAGAAAGAGGGTATGCCCTAATAACCAGCATTAAAGGGCCGGCCTTGGCAACAACCCATGCGCTAATACTGAGAATTTGGATGGTGGAGGTTTTAAGAACAAGAGGATATCTCAGAGGATGGCAGATAGCCAAATACCTATCTAAAGCCATTAAAAAAAGAATTAAGGAATTCACTGCTCCAAGATAGTGAACAAAGTACATTTGGACAAAGCAAGCTGTGAATGAAATGGTGCCTGACTGAAACCAATACTTACTGATGATCTTAGGTAAGGTGGTTGTGCTAAAGAGAATATCGCATACACTCAGATTTAAAATTATATAATACATTGGTTTATGAAGGCTGCGGTCGGTTGCAAATAAAAAAGAACTGTAGCATTGCCTGTCAAAGTTAAGAAATAAACTAAGAACAATACAAATGAGGTAAAGCCTTGGTACTCCGGATGAAGTCCAGGGAATCCAGTGAGGATAAATTCAGTCACAGTGCTATGATTTCCCTGTGGCATGATGTAGTAGGAATGTCTTAAACACCTTTAAAACGAAATACAACACATTAGATAAGACAATTTAACACCATCCAAACATTCAAACAATAGCAATACTTTATATAGTATAGTAATACATAATAATTTATCTGATATACAATTCATAATCTTTGCACTGTAAACCATTTTCTAGTAATTACTAGTATGAGTAATTTTCATTATAAGGCTTCAGTTGTCTATATCAGTTTACCATCTTTTACACTTACCTTTCTGAAACAGTATGGCAGCATACTCTGCCAGAGATTTACCTGCTGATTAACCTCTTATAAAGACAGTATGCCTTGTGATGAATGAATGGTGTCCACCCTTTTCGATTCTCTGTGGATCACAAACAGACTGTCAACTAATCTGTCTAAGCCACACTAAAAACAGCTGCTGGTAGTCAAGTTAAATAATAAAGTACACTGAAGCCATTAATAAGCTCTGTCCTATCCCTGCAGGAAGAACTTTTATATGTATAATGTGCACATTCAAAGTCCTTTTCCTTTTCACATGTACAGTTATTTGTTCTCACAGATAAACCTTGGCAAATACAGTGATGAGCAAACTAGCAGATTACTACCAAAACATATGCACGCAAACACATTCAGATAAAATGAGATTTACAAATGTAACTATGGTTCCATGAATTCTGGATGACCGCTGGAAGAGGTGTTCCACACCCAGTATAAAATCCTAACGTCATTACTCAATCTGTTCCTACAGCATCTTCTTGTCCAGAGTTCTAGTGACAAACAACTCTGGTGGTCATCTAGAATTCATAGAACCATAGTTACATTTCTAACTCTTGTTCTATTTCATTCTCCCTGACCGTGAGGATCACTTCCTTTATTCATAGAACCACATTCCATGGCTGCAACAGTTTACACAATGAATATACATTGAAACATGGATAACATTTAAAACGTATCTCACAAAAAAAGTGAAATATTGGATCCAACTTACTTGCAATGAGACACAAATCCAAATATCTCGGTCAAGGTAGCTTTACTGTGCAGTTTCTTTAGCTCAAGTTCCCTCTGTGATTGGTACTGTGCATGTGCAACTCTCAACAGACATGTTGAGAGTAAAGTTTTATAGCCTGTGATTGTGAAATATAAAGTGACTCAATTCATTTTATATTTCCAAGAATATGTGGCTGAATATATTTCATATGAAATATCCAGACTGAGCCACAGTCATCCGATAAGCAAAATGTTTCACATCCCTCATTTAATTGAAAACTGACCCCTTTTTAAAAGAAAAAACGCCTAAAATTACTCCTCAACCATTTGGCCTAGATGCATAATTCTAGTCTCCTTTGAAAAGTCAGAAGCTAAGGAATGTGAATCCATTGTGTATTAATATATTTATTTTACTTTTACAGACTACATGGAGATGCAATAAAGAAAAAATCTGATATTTTTATCCTCGCCTGGTAAAAAAAGCTATATTTTAATGGAATAAACCATCAAAACCATCCTGAGGAAGCTTTTAATGCAACTGAATATCTTCTAATACACCTAGAATGCAATTGTAACTGTAAATCTGATGAAAATAAACAAAATTTCAACAACAGCGAATTTCCATATTTTGGCAATATTCATTGTTAAAATGCTGACTTTTATTGATAGATATCTTTAAAACACTTTTTCAGTCCATACAACCTATTTCCAAATGACAAAATACTGAAATATTGATAAAAACAGGAGTATTCATCAACATTCCTGTCACCAAAAGCACTCCCATGCTTTACAGGCCTGTAGATTGAGAACGGAACATCCTACAGTGATGGGGGGGGGGGGGGGTATCAATCAATCCGGCTTGAGCAGACCTTTCATTTGAGACCCTGCATGTCTATATATCGCCAACGGATCGGCCACAAAATGGCAAAAAACACCGTATGTTCTCAAGGGGCATGTTTCCTCTCAGGCAGCTTGCAGGTATTGTGCAATACTCGGAGGAACAACATCAGCGGGTTTCGAAGTTAAAACGGCAGAAAAAAAAATTTCAATCAGTATCATCGCCCAAAGCACCACCGGGGGCGTCTGTTTTCCATCTTTGCACATGTTACTTTAATATTTTATCAAACTGGGCTTCAGATTGTACACTGCATTCAAACTGCACGATTCAGTGATGATTCAGTGTTATTCTCATGCACATGTAACATTAAATTTTTGCTCTTCATATACTGTACCTAATTTCTTTGTCAATAGTACAGTCCATTCGGGCTGCAACTAATGACTATTTTTGTAGTCAACTAATCTGTTAATTATTTATTCGATTAGTCGACTAGTCACAATTATTTTTGTCTCCCCCTAACCCTAACCCTAAGTAAACCATTTAACTAATTAAATATCTTTCAAGTGAATTACTGATGTCCAACACACAGCTTAACTAGCTAATGTTGCAATGTTGTAAAGAATTGCAGTAATCCAGCCTAGAAGTAACAAATGCATGGACTAGTTTTTCTGCATCATTTTTAGACAGGATGTTCCTGATTTTCGCAATATTACGTAGGTGAAAAAAGGCGGTCCTTGAAATTTGCTTAATGTGAGACTTAAACGACATGTCCTGATCAAAGATAACTCCAAGATTTCTTACAGTGGTGCTGGAGGCCAGGGCGATCCCATCAAGGGAAACTATATCTTTAGATAATGTGTGACGGAGGCTTAGGCCCCAGAACAATAACTTCAGTTTTATCTGAGTTTAACATTAGAAAATTACAGGTCATCCAGGTTTTAACATCCTGAAGGCACATTTGAAGTTTAGCTAACTGATGAGTTTCATCTGGTTTGATCGATAGATATAACTGAGTATCATCTGCATAACAATGAAAGCTTATGGAATATTTCCTGATAATATTGCCTAAAGGAAGCATATATAAAGTGAAGAGGATTGGTCCGAGGACAGATCCTTGAGGAACTCCATGACTAACTTTGGCATGCATGGAGGACTCATCGATAACATGTACAAACTGAAATCGATCTGATAAATAGGACTTAAACCAGCTTAGAGCGCTTCCTTTAATGCCAATGAAATGTTCCAGTCTCTGCAATAAAACCAGTACAGAGACAAGTCCTTTGTCTGATGCAATAAGGAGGTCGTCAGTAATTTTCACCAGTGCTGTCTCTGTGCTATGATGAGCTCTAAATCCTGACTGAAAATCCTCAAATAAACTATTGCTGTGTAGAAAGTCACACAGCTGTTTAGCAACTGCTTTCTCCAGGATCTTAGAGAGAAATGGAAGGTTAGATATAGGTCTATAGTTGGCTAAAACATCCGGATCAAGTTTGGGCTTTTTCAGAAGAGGTTTAATTACAGCTACTTTAAAGTACTGTGGTACATAGCCTGTTGATAGAGATAGATTGATCATATCTAGTATAGAAGTGCTGACTAAGGGTAAAACATCTTTAAGCAACCTAGTCGGGATGGGGTCTAAGAGGCAGGTTGATGGTTTAGATGAAGAAATTATTGAAGTTAGTTGGTAAAGATTGAGGGAAGCAAAACAGTCTAAACATATATCTGGTTCTACAGCTGTTTCTAAGGTTCCTGAGTTAAGAGATAAGTTGGTGACAGTTGAGGGCAGGTCTTGGTGAATTTTGTCTCTAATAGCTAGAATTTTATCTTTAAAGAAAATCATGAAGTCGTAACTACTGAGCTATGGGAATACTTGGCTCAATAGAGCTGTGACTCTCTGTCAGCCTGGCTACAGTGCTGAAAAGAAACCTGGGGTTGTTCCTATTTTCCTCTATTAATGACGAGTTTCCGCGATGACGAGTTTCCGCGATATTTGCTTTAATTTGCGAGTTTCAGTATTATACCATGGAGCTAACCATCTTTGTTTTAGTATTTTCTTTTTTAGAGGGGCTACAGAGTCCAGTGTCAATCGCAGCAAGCCTGCAGCACTATCAACAAGATGATCGATTTGGGAGGGACTGAAACTAGCATAGGAGTCCTCTGTTACTTTGTGACTTGATAATTTAGAGCTGATGGAATCGCATCCTTAAATTTAGCTACAGCAATATCAGACAGACATCTTGTATAGAAATTTTTGTTATCTCAGATAAACCTTGGCAAATACAGTGATGAGCAAACTAGCAGATTACTACCAAAACATATGCACGCAAACACATTCAGATAAAATGAGATTTACAAATGTAACTATGGTTCCATGAATTCTGGATGACCGCTGGAAAGAGGTGTTCCACACCCCAGTATAAAATCCTAACGTCATTACTCAATCTGTTCCTACAGCATCTTCTTGTCCAGAGTTCTAGTGACAAACAACTCTGGTGGTCATCTAGAATTCATAGAACCATAGTTACATTTCTAACTCTTGTTCTATTTCATTCTCCCTGACCGTGAGGATCACTTCCTTTATTCATAGAACCACATTCCATGGCTGCAACAGTTTACACAATGAATATACATTGAAACATGGATAACATTTAAAACGTATCTCACAAAAAAAGTGAAATATTGGATCCACTTACTTGCAATGAGACACAAATCCAAATATCTCGGTCAAGGTAGCTTTACTGTGCAGTTTCTTTAGCTCAAGTTCCCTCTGTGATTGGTACTGTGCATGTGCAACTCTCAACAGACATGTTGAGAGTAAAGTTTTATAGCCTGTGATTGTGAAATATAAAGTGACTCAATTCATTTTATATTTCCAAGAATATGTGGCTGAATATATTTCATATGAAATATCCAGACTGAGCCACAGTCATCCGATAAGCAAAATGTTTCACATCCCTCATTTAATTGAAAACTGACCCCTTTTTAAAAGAAAAAACGCCTAAAATTACTCCTCAACCATTTGGCCTAGATGCATAATTCTAGTCTCCTTTGAAAAGTCAGAAGCTAAGGAATGTGAATCCATTGTGTATTAATATATTTATTTTACTTTTACAGACTACATGGAGATGCAATAAAGAAAAAATCTGATATTTTTATCCTCGCCTGGTAAAAAAAGCTATATTTTAAT